TATAAAACCTCTAGCATGTTTGGATTAGTAGGGGTACGTACATATTAAAGGAGCTAAATAAATTCAGGTTTTTCATGAACCAGAAGCTGCAAGAAAAAAAACAACTGCATTATTGTCTTTATTCAAGTTTGGAATTTTAAAAAAGACATTGGTAGTTTTCACACAAAAAAAGAAAAAAAAACTACCAATACTGACATCTCACTAAGTTAAGCTTCAACCAATTACATGGACWACGATCAAGCATTCAATCACACTGTTTTCTTGTTCTTAAAAACAAAGGTTGGGTTGTTTTACCATTGTGGCTAAATGTAGGACTGCAAATTTTTCAACCCTAAGAGTATTGCACTAAAAGGTAAGTGGAATGATGGAGATAGAGTGCAATCATCCTTCATCAGAGACAGAACAATTCTAAAACTTGCTAAACAGTGTGGTATCAGTATGACTTCCACACCAGTCAAAAGTGTCATTCTCTTGATGAAATTAGGCTACATGTTTTTTTTTGTTTGTTTTGTTTTAGTTTATTTTTCTTTATTGTTCTACATGCAGCCAAATATGAAAGGGTAAGAGTTTTTCAGAAAGAAATACATATGTGTTATTGGAAGTTGTGTCACTGCAAATTAGCCAGAAACTGCAAAATCAAATGTAAGGTTAACTGTACCGTAATGTTTAATGTTCACATTCTTCTGCAGCAAGATTGTTTCCCAAAATGCTTCTGATTAAATTTAACTTTTCTTATTTTTAATTTAATAATTTTATTTTATTTTATTTTTCCTTTCAGGGCCCAGAACATTGTGTGACATGCCTCCATTTCAAGGATGGTCCAAACTGTGTGGAAAAGTGTCCCGATGGCCTGCAAGGTGCCAACAGCTTCATCTTTAAGTATGCTGAAATAAACAACGAATGTCGTCCTTGCCATGCCAACTGCACCCAGGGGTAAGTGCAGTCAGTCCAAGGACAAGTCAGTAGTGGTTTTAAATGGCTGTTGCCCTAAAAATTATTATTTTTTTATGAATCTCAGAGCATTCAATATTGTAAAAAGGCAAAAAAATAATTACAAGGAAGTCTGTTGTTTGCCATATTAAGAATCAAGTTTGCCATGCAGGTTGCCACTAAATCAACTTTTTCAAATATCACATATCTGCGAGAACATTTTGAGTTAGTTTCAAGGTTACAATTCATTATAGATTCTCTAAGCTTTCTTATTTACTGATTGTAGTTTATTTCCACATTTATATAAATAATGGTTGAAATTGTACATTTTCACAAAGTCCTTACAAACCACATTGTACAAATATTAAATTATACTCCAAACATCCTTCAAGGTAAGTAAGATAAATACAGGAGAGAAGCTGGAAATGAGCAAAACAAAACAAAAAAGAAAGAACGAATAAAGAAAAGAATCATAGAGAGAAGATTCAATGAAGTGCGCCTCCACTCTCCACTGCTCACAAGCCACTTATCGCTCGATGTAAAATTCAACAAGGTTTTGAAAGACATCATTTTGTGTTTAACTCCACAGGGGGTTTATGTCACTCCCTCTTTGTTATTTTTCCCCTCTTGAGTGACAGCCTCCAGCTTACTATAGCATAACAATGTAGACTTAAATGGAAACACTGGGATGACACTTTGTCACAAGTACAGTTTCACAAG